TGCCAATTACAAGAATTAGCGTATGATACTATTTGCAGCGCACAAACGGTATTCTCTATCTTTACTAAAGATGACCGCAGCATGCCGGCCCAGGCGAGTCTTCGAAGTGGAAAAAAAACACCACACAGGTGCTCCGAGGGGTTTTCTCAAAAAAAAAAAGGGGGGGCGCTCAAACTTGAGACCTCAGTTCTGAGTCTACAACACTACCACTAAGCTATGAAGACTTTTGTAGTATTGGATGCACATAAACATTTATAATATGGTGAGATAATGCACTTCAATATGATTATGTTTGTTTTAAAATTTGTTGCAATCTTTGTTATACAAATTTACATTGCTGCATGTTTTTGTTACTTAATCGTTACATAAAAACTCAAATGATTTTAACAAAGTGACAGTAGGCATCGTTCATGATTTGATATATCTCTCACATAGTTATATGGGAAGAGTACGAAGATGTATCTAATTATGAACATGTATACTATCACTTTGTTTGAATGGTGTTGATAGAGAAATAACTAAAATAAAAGTTGTAGATCTTGATGATTTATACAACTTTGTTGTATGTGACTTTTTCATTTGAAATCATTTGTTATCCAAAAATTATGTTTGAAGTTCTTATATTTTAAATTTTGAAATTTAAATTGTTCAAACAAAGTCGAATGGAGAAATGACCAAAATAAAAGTTGTAGATCTCGATAATTTGTACAACTTTGTTGTTGCTGACTTTTCTATTTGAAATCATTTTCTATCCCAAAATTCTATTTGAGGTTGTAATATTTTGAAATTCAAATTTTAAATGGTTCAAACAAAGTCAGATGGAGAAATGAACAAAACAAATGTTGTAGATCTCGATAAGTTGTACAACTTTGTTGTTCATGACTTGTTCAATTGAAATAATTTACTGTTCCAAAATTATTTTCAAAGTTTATTATATAAATTAAAAAGAAAAAACTTCAGACTATGTTGGGCCTCAAAATGATGCTCAGATTCAGCCCAAATCAAGTCCTCTTTCTCTTAGCCGTTGGATCATGGAATAGATGGCTGCGATATACCAGACTTAGATTAAAACCTCCTGAAACCCTAACGTATCCTCCTCCTGCAGACACCAGCGCCCCCTCCTGCACCTCTTTCCCCATTCTCCCCATCCTCGTATCGAGCGCAGCAGTGGCTTCCTTGGTGTGTCAAACCCTAGCCTCGCACTCCAGATCGAGCCCCAAGAGGGAGAGGTCTAGAGCCCATGGCGGGGCGGCGGCTGCCCTCACCCCCGCCCGTAGCAGCGACGGCTTCCCTCGTGTGTGTGCAAGGGCGATGACCCCACAGCTGTCCTCATCCGGCCTAGGGCGACGCGGAGGAGGCTGCCTGGCCTCGATCCGGGCTAGGGCGACGCGAAGGAGGCCGCCTGGCCTGGATCCAGCCTAGGGCTGCGTGGGGAGGTTGGAGCCATGCCCAGGTCTTCGTCGGTGATGAGCACGCACTAGGTTCACAGGCCCCTTCTCTTCCCTTCCTGCTGTGCAAAACCGAGAACCCAATCCCTAACTTAAACTATTTGTGTGTGGAGGTCGCACTTGAGCACGTCCATGGCGAGCCTCCCGCGGATAACACTACTCAAAATTAATAGAATAGTACTTGTTCAAATTTTGAATTGTGCCTCTTAGCTCAACATGAATCGAGCTATAACAGTATTATCTCTATTGCTTACCCTGTTTCTGAGTTAAAATAACTCACTCACTTATTCTTATGCAGATATACGGTCTGTTCGTTGGTTGGTTTCTGGGCTGGTTTGGGCTGGCTGGTGCTGGTTTATTGTGAGAGGAAAACACTGTTGGCTGGCTGGTTTGGGCTGGCTGAAACCAACAAGCGAACAGGCTCATAAACTTTGCATGTGTGTGTTAGTTACAAATATCTTCCCAAATTTGGAAGACCAGGATAAGATCTCAAGCTGTATCCTTTCAGTTTATTGTGGTTTTCCCAATTCAGAGAAAATAATATGACTCATGTTAAATGTAAAAGGTTATGCTGCTTAGTTTTTGCACTTCATATCAGCTTTCTCTAACAGCGACCATTAACAAAAAGTCATGGCATTGCGAAAGTCCTTAGCTTTTAATCAGATACCATTGACAAGAATGGGAAGAAGATACAGAAGTGCGAGTTCGAGAAGACGACACCACCAGTTGAGATCTGTAACACGCTTTGGAAACAATTTCGGGCGTGCAGTCCGTCATTACTGTCTGGTGATGAAGATTGTCAATTGTGCTTGTATATAGCTGAGGGCGGACCTCTCACCTTCAGTATTACAGTAATACAGTTCCTCAATGTTGTGTCGACACCAATGTTCGGGTATCGCCATAAACATAGTCGGCTATGTCCTGGTTTTAGCTTGATGGATAGTACTAGACTAGATCTTTACCAGGCATTAGCACTTACAGGAGAGGCCAATAGGCTTTGCATTAGTTCTACAGCTATTTCAAGACTTACGATTCCTCTACATGATATGCAATAAGATTTGGCATTTGTGGCTAATTTTATAGTCAGTATAAGATCGGAAGGTAGAAAATTCCGGTTTGCGCTTGCATTGTAGTCCCATACTGGCGCAGCAAGCAGCATGCATGTCCACGTTCACAAAAACTCCAATGCCATTTGAGTTGCCCTCTGGGATGCAAATTGAAATCATGCAAATCCAGTGAACGCCGGACGCAAAGCCATCACGAATTCACGAGCGCATCTGTTGGAGCATAATGTGCATGCCCGCCTAGGGAGAGTTCTGCTGGAGCAGCGAGTGGGGCCCGACTGTGTTTCTTTTCAGTTCTCACAGGTGACCTCACAAAAAAAAACCATGGTAGACCTCAACCCAAAACTCTCATGCTCTCATCCATAATAACAAACACTGGTGCAACTTGTGCAACTTTATTCATAACCGTATTTCATTATTGGCGACAATTATTCACGGTGTCAGGTTTACAAACATGTCTCGTGAGCTTTCAAATTTCAAAGAAAGAAAGCAACCAATCAGCACCGGACCAACAGATTTGGAAATAATTATACTAGCCGCGGAAAAGCTCTATTAGCCAAAACTCTTGATAGGAAGAAATGCTGTCGCCTCGTGTATAGAAATCAAAATACACAAAGTGTCAACCTAAGTGATGCCGGAACAGAGAGGCCATCTCAATCTGCAGGGAACTTGAGCTTGTCAACTGATAGTACATCTATGTTTATTTGAAATTAAGATTGCCGACGGAAGGTTTACTTACGGCAGTAAGAGCAGTTTCAGCACCCTTGTCTCCTGCCTTGCCACCAGCACGATTGAGCGCTTGCAGCATTTGATTTAGCATTCTCAGCAGGATTTTGATAAGGAGCAAAACAGTGCACATGTTTTGAAAAGTAGTCAGATAATCAACAAAAAAGGGTCACACTATTGACAAGAAACTTTCTCATCAGAAGGGAATACTTGAGTGAAACCTCTGCTTTGCTAATGTGGCCAATCTGGATTAAAGATGTCACTACTTTACTGGTCATGCAGAAATGGTTGGCACTACTCAAAATAAGATAAATGGCTTGGGAACTTGAACAATAGCATTTTGTCCAGCAACAAACACTTGACTCTTGACATAAAATGAACATAACACAGCTCAAACAACAATTGATTTTTCGAACAAAACTTTGAACAGAGTCCTCAGGAACTGATTGGTTTCCACATGTATAGGATGTGGGCCACATATCCACTAACAATGAAGAACCAGCCCTGCTTTGGGTTACCAAACATGATCTGGTGGCCAGTAACAATTGATAAGATGTACATGTACATAACCAAATCATGAATTACCTGATCCATGTCTTCACAGGTTAGAACACCAAATACACAAGGAACACCTGCATCCATTAAAAGCCAAAATAATCTAAATGTCTGAATATTAACGGAATTAACCACCATAAAGAAGAAATAAGCAGACCACACTTCAAGGTTTCAGTGAATGTTGCAAAGTACTTTTATAGCACCAACTACACAGCTATCTCATATAACCAAATCCTTCCAGTTCCATAATAGTTGCTCACATTAACTCTTGTTCTGTAAGGTGTACTTGCCTCGAGTCACTTGAAATATAAAGTTTTAGCCTACCCCAACTTGGTTGGGACTCAACTAATTGATAACCACCAGAAAGACATTGGCTAGCTAACCAACCGTAGAAGCAGGCGGATCTAGCGGGGGGGCTGGGGGGGCTCTAGCCCCCCCTACCGCTGCAGATCCCCTTGAGCCCCCATGGAGTCCCTGCAAAAAAATTCCACCATGGCTGTTGAGTAGGAGGGGCTAAAGATGTCGAATTCTTCAGTCTGGAGGTTGAAGACGACATTGCTTTTCTTGGGCCAGCGAGATAGCAGGCCTTTTTCATTAATTCCCACCTGGATGGCCTCGGTTGCAGCCCAAGAAGGCCCAGGCGACGACCCTCCAATTCAGTCGATTGAAGGCCCAGGCAAGATAACACCCAGGCAGGCCTCTAGCCAGCACCGTGCTGAACTGCCAATCAAGAAGGCCCATCTCCCTGTATATTTGCTTATTGCTTTTACCTTATTTGATGTTGTGGCATGCTTTTACCTTATCCATTTTACCAATTTTGTTTTTTTACAACATTTTACCAATTTTGTTAAAATTTGTGATTCGAATTGCTGAAGGAATATGGACTAAAAATTATGTACAACCAATAATAGACCTTTTGCTATAGCGATATTTCTTCAGCCCCCCCTATAAGTATTTCCTGGATCCGCCACTGCCAGAAAGCAAAGAGAAGGAACTCAACTGATTGATAACTACAGAAACAGATAGCACAACTTTATGATCATGCATTAACTAGACAAGCAATAAAAAAAAGGAGCAGAAACCAGCGATGACAAGAGATCCAACTGTTACCTGAATTTTTCAGAAGACCTTCACAGAAAACACCTATGGCCTATACATGCTGAACATTCACGTGTTCTTGGGACAAGCCCGTGGCCCTCACCAAATACTAAGTCTTTTCCCAGGTCGCTCCAAACATCATGTACTCTGGTGTTTGCCCATGGGATTTTCCAGAGAAGTGCTGCGGCACAATCTGCCTCACGAACCTCTGCACATCATCAGTAGTTTGGCACGAAACAACCTACAATTATGAATGAACAAATGCATTCCAACAATTCAAATTAACAGTTTGTTCTACCAGGAAGTGGTTAGTGTAAAACAATGTTTTTTAGTGCCAAGAAGAAACCTGAGTAGTGGGTACTATGTGAAGGATGAAAGTAGGATGCCCACTGATTCCATCAACTATACATATATCGGCTTCTCAGTTTTTTGTAAACATACTCGGAAGGTGTTTTCTAGAAGCACCATCTGTAACAAAATTCTGACTCAGAGCCATTATAAATATTGAACCAACTGCTCTACCATCCGAAATCAAATGATGAGCATCATTCTGAAATATACCTTACTTGAGTGAAATATTAGGAAGAATATATAAGATCTCTATTGGTGTTTTTCGTGCTTATTAGGAAGAAAATACAGCATCGGGAGCTGAAAGTAAGAAAAGAGGACGACCGCGAAGGAATGTCCAAACTCCTGTTGTCACTTTGGAGAGCACCGAATCTTTGAATAAACGAGTGCGACACGCAGGGCGATTCAATGGTAGCCCTTGGAGGGAATAATTCTATAGCAGGAACCACATAGTGGATACACAAAGAGAGGCCACTTTCATTATCCTGTAGCCAATTTTCCCATAATTCAAAGTATGTTGATTCATTGAATTTTTAGAGTAGAAAGAGTTCAACATTTTTGTTACAATTATTTAGTTCAACATGTCACAGAAATTTCTTCAAAGGTTCTTGTAGTTTAGATGCATACAACAAAACTGAGAACAGATTATATACATGGGAAGAACCTGTCCTATGTATATCACATACATTTCTCCATTTGAAACATTTTACGGCAACAAGTCTAGAGGGAAACTTGTGCAGCAGCGGAACAACAGAAAAGATCTTGACTCTTACAAATTATACAGACCTACAGTGTCAGCCGTTCCACAAGAATGTCTGTGGCAAAACGTCGAACAGCAGGGGTCCACCGACATCCACCCAAGAACAGGAAGCAACGAAACAAGCAAGCTTAGTTACTCACAATAGCGTTGAAGAGGGTGGACTTGCCAATGTTGGGCAGCCCGACGATGCCCACGCGGAGGCTCATGCTTATCCGTGCCGCACGGCCGGACGAGAACTGCGGGGCGCAGCTGGCTCGACTCCAGCGTCGGGTGCTGGAGTAGCGCCGGCGAGCCGCATGGGGGCGGAGTGCTGGAGTAGTGCTCCCTGCTGTCTCTCCCTCCGCTCTGGTAGGATCCGCGGGTCGTCGATTGGACCTCACTGCCGCAGCAGCCCCACCTGTCAGCTCCATCCCTCTCCTCTGTCCCTCCCCTCCGCTCTGGCCAGTCTTCCGAGCCGGCCGGGTGACCGCGCTCCCCACCGCTCGACTTAGCCCGCGTCCGCGCGCCCCGCGCGCGACCGAGCAAACCGCGCCGCGCCTACCCGATCCGGTAGCCGCCCGGAGGAGGCCGTCCGAGCGGGCCATGCAGCTCGGCGGCCTGGATGTCCTAGCGCGAGGTCGGGAGCGCCGGCGGAGGCGGCGGCGTGGATGAACCCTAAAAATAAAATGTTATGTTTATCTAACTATACTACTTTTATTCATCCTAACTATACTACTCACCAAAATATTTATTTAACTATATTACTTGAATCATACACCCTAACTGTACTACCCAAAACATTAATTTTATAATTATGAATTTACCCCTTTCCCTTTGATTAAATAAAAGAACTACAAAAATAGAATTACCACTCTTTTATTTGGAGTCCTAATCCCCTTAACATTGGAGGCATTGAGAGACGTTACGGCGCATATGGGCCCACCGATCATAGACACATATAATACCTCCCGACGCCTCCCTCATTGATGCCTCCCAACGTCTTCCCTCGTATGGGTCCACCAGTCATAGACACGTCTAACGCTTCCTGATGCCTCCTCAACCATAGTAAAAAAGTTCTTAGAACTTTAGATAGTAGCTATAGTTTTCTTTTTTTTTCTTTTTTTGAAAGAAATACCCTAGTATTCGGATTAGACAGTAACGCTTTAGTTAGACTGTATTCCATTTAAATAAATATTATTATTTTTATACTTAGCGAAGGCTTCTTATATACAAACTTGTTTATGATGTTATGGTCTATATAAGCTAGAATTTCATGTTTTATTTGGATTTTTTGCTTTTGTGATATTTTTTGAAACCTTTTTGCTTTTGTGTTATGTCCAAGTTAATCCATAGAGGGACATAACCATGACACAGACTAATATTATATTTTTGGCATGACATGCATAATTGTGGATTGCTTGACTTACGAAGTTACGATATCAATTAACTGGTATGTGGACTCGCTGATAAATAACGTTTTCACGGAAGTTACCGACAAATACACACCTGCATACATACGCGATGTTACCAACAACCACTCAAACTATTTTCTAACTATAAAATTTCATCTAAAGGTTGTAATTACGAGGGGTCGGTCATTAGTCGATGGCATACCACACGTTATTGTTTTTCTTAACACAGGAAAGAGTTTATATTTCAATCATGAGCGTGATTACAATCATAGTCCAAGGCTGCCGACACACAGGTCGGGACACCTTCAGACATAAAACAAGAAGAAAAAACTCTCCTGCTAAAATGCCCTAAAGCATGAGCTATTCCATTAGCACTCCTGTGACATTTTGTGACTTTGAAGTCTTGAAAACAACTCAACATTTCTTTTGCCTGCTCAATGATGATACAACTAGGGGACCGATTTGGAATATTTCAGTTAAGCACTTGTACAATAGGCAGGCAGGCAGATTTTAGCCATATAGGTCCTGTAGAGGTCGAAAGAGCATTTCAGATTCCCGTCAAAGCCGCTAAATTTTCAGCTTCTTCCACAGAGGAACATAAATGGTCACTGGTCCAGCCTGAGAAAACCACCCCGCTCAGACGATTCCTAGCAACAAAACCCAGGCCTACCTGTCGCGTGATAGGGTCAAGCCTGCATCAACATTGAGTTTGATCCATCCTGGAGGGGGAGGTGTTCAAGGGTACCTTTTTCTGGATTGTTGTTTGATCATTATGTTTCAGGAAATCTGAAGTTGAAGTACACATATTTTTCCCTTTAGCATTAACTGGATGTGCTATGTCTCCCTCAAGCTTCAGAGAACGAAGATAATTTCTCCCTCAAGCTTCAGAGAACGAAGATAATTTTCCAGAAAAAATAGATGGGGCATTGGCCAGTCCCAAACACTACCACATGTTATTGTTGAAAGAAGGAGAGTTAAAATATGTGTATTTTTAGTTTCAACCAGTATTGCTTTGTTGTAAATAGTTTCTAATTAAGTGCTATCTTCTTATTGGAATAAAATAATAGGTATACTTTGTACTCGAGAAAAAAGTTTATAGTAATAAAACAGTTTTCAGATTGTCAATGTCTTTCTTTTGGCTAAGTTAGTCCTACCTCTGTACCTCACTGATTTGAAGGAATGGAAAATATATAGAGATAACATTGGTTCGCACTAGAATTGTTCTGAAAATACCTGATTTTGCAAAATGCCTTATATAAAATTAAAAATGCGAACTCCATATATGATGCCAATTTGCCAAAAAACAGTTGCGCAAACACAAAGCATTTGAAAAGCCCTAGTTTAGTTTTAGTAAATTAGTGACAACCAATGGACTAATTTTTTCAATGGAGATGATTGAGCTAGGTCCACACATGAAGTTGAGCAACACTAAGGAGATGGTGGGGATGATTATCATGACCATATGCAAGTACCCAACCTTAGAGAAGAAGGAATTGGAGATGAAAAGGAAGTCCGAAGGCAAAGCTATATTACTAGGGCTTTATGTTTGCTAGCCAAGGTGCAATAGAGTGCATGGCCAGGTTTAGGATAGATATCATACTAATAAAAGAAGAACTCTAATGCGATCACGGTTGTGTATCTAGTGCCACTAGATGAGGACCGACATTGCATATACATAAACCTAGTGACATGGTGAGAAGCAAGTGAAAAATGTTTTGGAAAGGGTTGGAAAATGCTAACTCATGTGCTTAAGGTGTTGGTTTTCTTTGGAGCACACTTTGGAGTTGGTACATTTGAAAACTTGCTTTGAGAGCGTGTTGTTTGGATGTTTTTTCGGGTCACCGGATTTATCTGGTGCCCAACCCTCAGGGGCACCGAAGAAATTAAGCGGTCAGTGCCTCTAGCCCTGGTTCTAACTTAGCTTGGCTCGGCTGTCCGTGGACCACTGGATTTCTCTGGTGGTGCCCAGCATAGAGCATTGAAGCAAGCAACTCCGAGGGGTGGTGTGGCTGCACGAGGAGACGCCGCGGGAAATTCGAAAGTGCTTGACGCTTCCTTCGGTGGTGTCCTGGGGGCCATCGGTCTTTTCCTGTGGTTCTTTGGACCTCTGTGGAACTCTGTCAACATAGCTCCCAAACCTGCCGGATTTCTTTGGTGGTGTCTGGGATGTCACCGGAGCTTGCGGACGAGAGGGTTTCTAAATATTCTTGAATGTTCACATAGTTAATACTAAAGTTGTAGTGGCCAACCTAATCTACATGTTTTTTGTTGATAAGTTTTAGTTGTCTTATTTTTTAAAAAAAGTCAATATTTTGAGATTCATTTAAAAAAAATCAAACAATCTCAGTCCAATTTCACATGTAATTTTATTGATAAGTTCTTTATTTGATTTTTTTCATTTGAGTTTATTTAATAGACAAAATATTCAATACAAGATTACAAAATATTGATGATAAATACAATCCTATATATACTCACAAATGAGTATGTGATGAAATGGTAATTAAAGATGTTTTATTACTAAGCAGTAGGTCAAAGGTTTGACAGTTTGAGTTTGGAGGACCAGATTTTTTTGGTTTTTCTAGAAACCATTAATATAGGCAGGTTCAATGACCCTTGGTTAGAGGCGATCGCCAAGTCCGTCTCTGAAAATCTTATCTATAGTAGTGGTGTTGATGTATTGGATCCGTCAGCTGCTTTAGCTGAGAACTTGTTCATGGTTAATGGTTAATCTGAATCCTAAACTATTGCATATGCTAGCCATTTCTTATATCTAAGAAGTTGTCATTTGTATTTTTCCTACTTGTCAAGATGTACCGTGGCCATTGTCTATGATTTCTCAGTGATGCCCCTTGTTCTATTTCTGTTATAACTAAGCACAGTTACCTTGCCAATAATGATGTCTACACCCTAATATCATGTTGTTCCTACTTTACCTAAGCACAACTCAATTGCCAATGATGTCTTTGCTATTCATGTTGTACTTGACCAGAAAACCATGATATATCGTTTATTTCTCCATTGCCTCACCAATGTTACTCATCGTTGCTAATGTTTACTTTTGTTTAGCTGGTAATGACATGCTATTTGATTTGTGCTGCCCAGAAAATTAGAGTGTCCTCCAAGTAGGAGGACATCCATGAGCAAGTGGCAGGCTACCCAAATGCTGCTGATTTCAAGAGGAAGAAGGATGCTTGGACACATGTAAAAGTCACATAATTTTATTTCAAGCTAGGGTCGTTGCCTTCTTAATTTGGAAGTTGATGTAGAGTGTTTGCAATAGGTTGTAATAATAGGGATTTGAGCTCGATAGAAATGGTGGAGGTAACATCACCGGTCACCATTGCATGCATGCATGCATGTGGTAACTGAGCTTTGTTGTACGAGACTAGCCTGTTCGGTTGACTGGTTTGTATTGTTGCTGGTTCGTGAAGAAGTACTGCTGGCTGGTTTGTGTGAGAGAAAAATACTGTTCCGGCTGGAAATTTACGATCGTTTACGACAAGTCACAGCCAAACGTATGGGTCGTATCAGTCAGTATTTATCTATTTCCCCCCTCTTCTTCTACCTTTCCTCCCCCACAGCCGGCAGTACTGCACCTCGTTCCCCGCCACCGGTGGACACGAATCACGATGAGCCATTGGCCGATGGACACATTCACACACGAGCGGCTGTGCAGCCATGTACACGGTACGCCGCACGTACTGCCGTACTGGGGACGACGTGGCGGCGTCTCCGACTCTCTCAGCGAGCCCTGGGGCTCCTCCCTGTGCCATTGCTCATAGAAATTCTGTAGGTTTGAATTTCCAGTACGTGAGAGATCAAATAATCAACACTCACTAACCAATAAGTACTGACCTTTGGTAGTGATTGTTAATTATTTCACATGTTCTGCACACAACATCAACTCAATGGTCTCTCCAGCCAAAATGGAAGTTCATCCACTAACCACTACATGTGAGACCATGAACATCAAGGGGCCGTTCGGCTGGTGTGAAATTCAGCCGGATTTCACTGTACACGGCTGAAAAACATTGTTGACTCCCTCACAAATTCTTCCAGATTTCTCCAGATTTCTCCGAGCGAACATGACCCAAGTAGGGGTTTTCAAATAAATAAAAAAACATTTGTGCCTTTTGTTCTTTTTTGCAATAAAGCACAGTAGGGGGTAAAACCCCTCCGGTTTTCCTTAA